CGATCAGTCAATATATGGCTATTTTACATGGTGTGCCGGGTGAACTAACGGTAGTCACATAATTTTTATATAGATATAAGTAATTGATCGAAACAATGACAAATGAACTATCATAGAACAATTGTGTTTGTCCTCCCACTTCGTTACTTCGCACGACCGTTACGCCCTGCCAATACCGCATAAATAATGGACTATTCCGTTTTGAACGCGTGGAAAGAAATAAGACATCAGATATGCTACTTGTTTCCAGAGGAAAAAAAGAAAGTAATATTGATAGAAGCGTTTAACCCTATACCGCTTATACCGAATAAATAATGGACTATTCCGTTTTGATTGCTTGAGAAGACAAAAGACATCTGAAAGCTGCTATTTGTTTCAGTGAGAAAATGAAAGAAAGACGGGACGATAGCGGTATTTAACGCCTGTTTCAGTCAAATGGAAAAAGTCGTCAATTTCTTTTCATTTGTACCCCCTTACTTCTTAAAATAACGACCAGCATTCATATTCATTTTTGTTATTGCAATATTTTGTTAATGTTGTTAAGCTCAAATATTTAACGATTCGATAGGGGAATTTCTACGGATATTTTATTGTCGTAGAACTCGCCATGAGCTTATTCAATCATTAACTGAAGAATTAAGATTCATCAGAAAATTCAAACAGAAAAACCGGGAAATGTTGACGGGTTATAACTAGTAAAGATATTAATCCAGTTGAATCAAAAAATAATTTTAATGGTTTATTACTAATACTTGGAATAGAATTTAACATTTGAAACAAATAATCCCCCCGTCTAGCGTAAGATGATAAACTACGGCCAACGGCAAGGCTTCTGATCAGGAGGTTTTGAGGAGCATGGAACCACGACTTAATTGCTGGTGTTCTCAGGTCCACCCTGACCCGGGGTGGTAGCACCTGTTAGGGTCACAGCTATGGGTCAAATAGTAAAGCCCCAAACAAAACACTATGAAAGGAATAATTTATAGTAAAATTATCAGTAATACCTATTTATAGTGACATGACCAGTAATACATTCTTATAGCTAAATGACCAACAATACATTTTATGGGCAAATACTTAACCCCGAAACTGAGGTAAAAAGCATTATGAAAGTGTAAAAATAGGTTTTAATACCAGAAAAACTTTGTAAAAAAATTATTACTAGAAATAAATTTTTGAAGAAAAAAACTACTAACAGCAATACATCTTTTAATATAATATTACTAACTATACATTTTTGAGGAAAAAATATTACTAAAAATAGTTTTTTGACAAAACAAAATATTACCAGAAAAATAAGTTGTCGATATTAAATGACCCATTGAGGTTGATATGCCGTAAAACAAAGCAAACCAAATAATCCCCACAGCCTTGTGCCGCACATTTTAATATTCAAATAAATAAGTTTAACAGAATTAATTTTGTTGTACTATCTTGCTATTATCATAATCACTTTTCTTAAAATGGAAGTCCTATCTTTTGCCATCACACGAGGAATAATTCATAAGTGCAGCCATTATGATCACGATCCTCACCCGCCCAGCCCTTCCTATTGCCCATATCATCATCATCATCATCATCATCACAATTATCGTAAGCACCAGAAACAACCACCACTACCCCCACACCACATGTCCAAAACTGTCATTATCGTTTTATAGAAAAAATAAATTCTCTTTACAACCGTCGTCTCGTCTTCTTCGGATTTCTTCATCTCTCTCTCTCTTTCTTTCTCTCATTCTCTTCCATTATGATCGCCACCCACATATCATCTGTACCCGTCTACCCGGAAGGAAACATTTAGCTAATTTGGAAAAAAACTAGTGTCGGCAAACCTAATTTTTTGCTGGCTCCATCTTCAATTAAGGCGAACGGCGTAAACAGGCTGGATTTTTTTTTTTTTTTTTTATAAAAAAACACTCTCAATAAAAGACTATCATGAAATATTTCGATTGCAACTGCAAATATAGCTGACTCAGGTTCGAGCACACCTAATTGACCATATGGGCTCCAAGCAAACCTCTTGACAGTAATTAACTATTACGACCAGTAATTAAATATTATCCAGGTTATTTTGTATTCTCAAAGTATATGATATGCCTGCAAGGTAAGAAAATTAATGGAAGCGGCATATATTAAACTGTGGAAAACTAATTCCTTTCTACTCAATAACATTTTACTCAGTTTTTATCCTTTCAGTAAGCCCCCTCCCCTTAAGTCGGAGTGACTTTATCGCCATGCTTGGGGTAAAATGATTAAAAAATGTCTTTGTACTCGGTAACTTGTTGATTAATCCAGCAACAGCTTCCCTATTTATTTTAAAAGCATTCTTCTGTGTTCCGTGTACCTTTGTGACGTTAAATGACATGGCTCACCACAAATCCCTGTCTTTTATAGCTCTTAATAAATGTTGTCTTTTTTCTATATCTCCTAAACTCTGATACGCCATCAATTCACTTAAGCTCGCCAAATAAATCATACATTACTTTTCTCTCTCGCTCTCTCTCTCTTATTTTCAATTTGTCTTGTGAGTATCAAACTTTCCAAGCACTCTTTTCTCACTATGTGCCCCAGAAATTCCAACTCTCTCTTCCTATTCTTCGTTACTATAGTCTATAATAAAACAAGCTTTTATTTCCGGAGCAGAAATAGGAATAGACAGGTTCGCTTATCGTTCGGTTCGCACTCCTCCCCGGACTTTTGAACAGGATTAGACGTTTATCCCTGGTTTCCTGCTTAGGATTTGGTTTCCGGTTCGGTTTAAAGTTTTCTCATTCTCTTTCATTCCAAGTAGCCCCCCTTGCATCTTAGTGGCATTATCACCTTCAGCAGTGGTGAACCAAAAACTTGGAAAACTGAGTTCAAGGGAAATAAATGAGACATCCAGAAGAGTCATGGCACGTGGAACTAGAACATTCTACCCCGGTGGACGAATTAAAGTGTTTGATTCGAAATTCCAGTCACCTGAAGAATGCTGGAACCTACAATGGCCGAAACGTTGTGAATATGGCAATGAAGATGAGGATAATATTACGAATAATGTAAATAATCATAAATCCTCATCTCAGAGATATAGACAGACACTCATCCTATAGCAGATTTGAATTGACTTGTATCGGTTTTCACCCTGGTCGGGTTGAACCGGCTTCCACCCGAGCAAGTACAGCATCACGGATCATCGCTGCCCACGCCCGCCGATCCTGTGTCAGGTCACACGAAATGGTGAGCCAATCACGATTCCATCGTCGAAGACCAACTACTTGTGGACCAGATAGTAATGCTTAGGTCATTCTTGATTGTGCTAGCACACGTCCTAAGCTGCTTACCTACACGTTTTCGCCAGCCAGGAAGAGAAGGAGGGAGAAGTACATCGCGGATGAGCTCTCCCTCCGGGAACCACCGGTGGGGGCTACATAGCAAATAATTAATTGATTCGGTTTTTACGGATTATCAACCCTTTGAAAGTTATTTAAAGTCAGAAGGTATATTTAGATTGTAAGAATTTTTTTAGATAATAATGGTTTAGTGTTTCAAGTATTACTAATTAAACCATAAATGAGAAGAGGTGCTTTCCTACCTTTCCCAAGCGGTTACTCATTTAGGTACTGACCAGGGTTGATGTTGCTTAACTTCGGTGATCGTACGGGAATCGGTGTTTCAACCTAACAGTTAAAGTCAGAAAAAGAAATGGGAAGGATATAAAAAAGGCAAATACTGTTAACAGCTATAAAGGATAGGAAGTTGTGGAGAGCTATGATGGTTCATGTCCTAAAGGGACATGGCATATTGGAGAAAATTAACTAATTCGAGACAACCACAGGAAGAGGAATTAAGAAAAATGTTCCACCATAGATAGAATAAATATTTCGGTTTGAAATTCCAAGGAGGTTAACAATTATCAAAACAGTTTCCTGATGAAGGCCAGTGGGTTCTATGCCTGAAACGTCGTGATTATGACAACCAAAATGGTCATGGTTATTCTAAGTAAAGCGTATAGTAATCCTTTAATATATTTGCTACCATTTTTTCCTTTAAGTTTCCTTTACTATAACTCGACCGAAGAACTCTTTTTGAAATCATATCAACCTTTTCCAGCTATTTAAAACCAGAAAATATTTTTAGATGGTAAGAATTTTTTATTTTTTACATAAATAATGACTGAGTGATACAAGTCTTACTAATTAATCCATAGCTGAGGGAAAAGAAGTGGATACCTGCCTAATGAGAATTTGATAAACAAACAAGAAATTATAACATTGATATAAAGAGGGGGATGGACTACCTATTACAATCAATACATAAACTGATCCCTCACTTTGTGGCCACGGTAGTGTCTATACATTTATATTCCAGGGAATGTAAACAAATCTAAAAGACATGCCTGTGGAGCTATAATCAATATTTTATTGATTGATTGATTCGTTTTCTACGGCTTATCAACAAACAAGAAATTATAATGTGGATATAAAATGGGGGATCAATACTATATTACAATCAATATATAAAGTGATCCCTCACTTTGTGGCCACCGTAGTTTCTATACATTTACATTACAGAGAATTTAAATAAATCTAAAATACATGTCTGTATAGCTAATCAGTATTCCATTGATTGATTCGTTTTCAACGGCTTATCAACCATTTGCAGGTTATTTAAAGCCAGAAACGATTTTTGGATTGTAAGACTTTTTTCAGATATTAATGATTTAGTGATACAAATTTTAATGATTAACCCATAGCGGTGGGAGAAGAAATGGATTCATGCCTTTCCCAATGTTATTTGTTCTTAAATCAATATAACGAACCCAACAGTAACTGGAATTATTATTATTAAAAAATTGGAGCCATTATCCATTGCACACTCGTGCATCCAAGATTACTGCACCTGGCAATTCCAAGCGTTCAACTGATCTGGCTCGATGTTGCTTAACTTCAGTGATCGTACGGAAGCCAGCGTTTCAACGTGATGTAGCCGTAAGCCATTCCACCTGCATACCCAAGCTTACAGCACATGGTATTCTCAAGCGGTCACCCATGTAGGTACTCACCAAGCTCGACGTTGCTTAACTCCGGTGATCGTGCGGGACCGGTGTTTTAACGTGATATGACCATAAGCCTTCTAACATTGAATTATGGTTGATTTGTCAAAGAGGTTACTTCTTGTTAATGTCAGCCTAGGAGGACATTCCCAGCCTGCTTTGCAATACATGTCAGAGGTTAACCAAAGCCTTGTGAGCGAAATTAGGCTGATATAATTGTTCAAAAACTGTTTGTGACCTCGGATCAAACGTTTTTTCCCCCCATGTTCCAAATAAGAAAATCAGAGTAAATTTTATTTTACTGTATCTACGCTGACAGGATGTGACACATGGTCAGTTTAATGTGGGGATCCCGAGCGCGTGCTCCCGGGCCAGGTTCTAATATAACCGAACCCCTAGCAAATGTAGGTTGCTCAGGCATAGATATTACCACTGACTCCTTCTCTTTAGTGCAGTGCAATAGGAATATTTGCGCTGGGTACTATATACCCATGGTTAGTGTTCTAGGGTTAACAATAGCTATTTTTGAGATAAATTTATAAAAGTTTGTTAAATTGAATAAGTATACGTCAGATACTTAGCCAGTAAGTGACGCAGTGTTTCTTAACTCAAATTAACTTTCATTCAACCTCTAAATCAAAATGTAGTGGGCTACTACCGCGGACAGCTGTTTCTCAAAATCAGGTACCTTTCAATATTATTTTCAGTTGCGCTTTGTCCGCAGACAGCGACACAACTGAGTTGCGCTCGATCCGAGATAAAATGTATTTTATCCGACCGAGAGCAGCTACTACACTTTGATCCAAGCCAAAAGGACAAAAGCAATGGCGACCGCGATAAAAGCGGTATTTTTCAGACGCACACCATAGAGCAACGGAAACCGAGTAAGACAATCGCCAAAACTCTACTTACCATAAATAAAATAAGATCATCTGCCTAATTTCCCAGTATTTAAATTTTCACTATTAAATGCTAAAATGTTTTCAAGTTTCTTTTTCCTTTTCTAATTTTCAATTATTGAAGCTCTAACAATCCAAGAGGTATATTTGTTCTTTATTTACCTTGACCTTAAGATTTTGGTCAGCAGTCTAATAAAGGCAAGAGGGACAAGAAAAATGCAGCAATGAGTTTGTGTAAATGGTTGCCATGACACGGATTGAGAAGAATAGACAAAAGACAAACCTTAATAAAAGCTACAAATTCAGGAAGTTGTGGAAAGCCACGAACCTCCACATCCTGAAGGGACACGATACAATAAATTCCGACGACCTGATTGAAAGATTAAGATGGTTAAATATGACGGATAATGCCATGGCGAGATTAGACATCAAATCCCTTTAGAGGTTTATAAATTTGATCTAGACTGTCAGTATTCTCTACTGGACTAAGTGCATTGACAATAAGGAGATTATGAAATCAAGAAAGATACAGGAATCAGTGAGTGGCTTGCATGACGAGCATGAGAAGCAGAACTGGGCGTGGAGGTGGGAATAAAAAGACAATCATTTCTAAGTGCTACAAACGATAGGAAAATGTGAAGAAGAAGAAGAAAAAGAAGAAGAAGAATAGAACAACTATAACAACCAAACGGCGACGACGACGAAGAAGAAGAAGAAAAAAGAAAAAGAAAAAGAAGAAGAATAGAACAACTATAACAACCAAACGACGACGACGACGACGACGACGACGACGACGAAGAAGAAGAAGAAGAAGAAGAAGAAGAAGAAGAAGAAGGAAGAAGAATCAACAGATGGAATAAAAGGTGAAAGGAGATAAACAGGAAGAAGAATAACTTGTAAAAAATTAGAAGACGAAGAATATAGCATTAACAGCAAGCAAACGAAGAAGAAGAAGAAGAAGAAGAAGAAGGGATGGCAAAAGACAAACCATAATAAGCACTACAAATTCGAGAAGTTGTGGAAAGCCATGATCCCCCACATCCTGGAGGGAGACGGTATAAAGAAGAAGAAAAAGAGGAAGAAGAAGAAAAAGAACAACAAAAAGAAGAAGAAAAGAGGAAGAGGAAGAAGAAAACGAGGAGGAAGAGGAAGAAGAAGATAGGAAAAAAGAAGTAGAGATTAGGTCCACATCCGTTGGCTCGGGTACGTTTCCCATTACTAAAGACTATTTTAAATTCACCCCTATGTATTTTACACATATTTCTTCAGCTTCTACACCATTACCCCCCCCCCCCAAAAACACACACACACACAAATTTGAGTTAGTCAGACAGCCTGGAAAATATATCATACCTCTTTCTCGAAAAAGACACTAACAATTCTATTCTTAGATGGATGAGAAGGCAGGATCTTGTATGGCGACCAAATATTTTTTTCTCCAGACTACATGTCATATTTTATTAAGCAAATCACTGTTTTTCCTATGTAAATGCTATTATTATCTAACCAATTGCTAAAATGTTCAGGATATGTTTATATCTATAGGAGCAATAAATCATGTGAATTTCAATTAATCCATATTGAAAATACAGATAAGAACTTGTTTAGAGGGATTAGACTTTATTAATATAAAATGCAATTGGCCGGACAGTGTGTATTTGGACTCACTGTAAACAGGGCGAGTAATAATTGAGAAGTACTAAAAATAGGAACTAGACGAAATATCCCTAGCAGGCATAACATAGAAATAAATAGGGCGATAACAGTCTACCTCCGTAGATTAATGCGTTTAATGAGTTATTTTGTAAAAGATCCCTTTTGTGTTCATATAATCTTTTATTTAAATCCTCGTGGTTTCTCCAGTGTATTCCTTGTGACAATTTTGCAAAAGTGTTTGATAAATTATGTCACCAAAGAAGTGTTGGAAATGCAAAGTCACTTTCACATATTTGGAAGCAAACGACTGCATACAGACAAAAAAGTTAATTCGGTAAATATACAAAAATAGAAAATGGCGTATGAAAAGGGTCTGTCTTCTCACCAGATTTATTCGACGTATAGGATAAGCAAAATATTAAAGAAAAGAAAAATTTCGTTACAAAAAAGAAAAGACTGACCTGTTATATAAGTCCTCCATTATGACTGTGAATGCTGGTCAGTCTCTTCACAGATGAAGAAGAAACTTGAAGTAACAGAAATATGGTTCTACAGAAGGATTCTGAGAATAACTTGGACAGACTATGTAAACAACGAGGAAGTTTTAAAGAAAATGGAAACAAAAAGGACACTTATATTTATAATCAGAAAGATACAATTAAAATTGCTAAGGAACATAATGAGAAAAGACGGCTTAGAAAAATTGACACTCAAGAGACATTTTGAAGGCAGGAGGGACAGAGGCAAACAGTTCATAACTCCTACCGAACGAGTTTGTGTAAATGGATGGCAGAACAGGGCTTAGGAAAGATAGTAAAACGACAAAGTTCTACAAAAGACAGAAAGTTGTGGAGAGCCATGAACTTCAAAAGGGACATGACACCTAGAAGAAGAATGCTATGAACCTAATATTTTAATCTATTTAATGATATTTAAATTTTCACAATAGAAGACGTAATGACTTATTAAAATATATTAATTTTTTAAAAGAGAGTCATGTCCCTTCACGACGTTGGAGTTCATTGCTCTCCACAGCTTTCTTTTCTTTAATATTTGTGTAATACCATGATTTTTAGTCATAGGTTTTCCGTTTCTTCTTCCAATTTTTAAATTCAGCATAGTCTTACTAGACTAGATGCGACACAAGGCTAGAGATCATGGAGAAACAGATTCATGCCTTTCGACTTTCCACAGCGATAACCATTTCATTATTAAAATAAATAAATGAAATCAGTACTTTTCTTCTTTTTTTTTTTTTTTTTTAACTATGATTCATTCCAGTCCTATCAAAGCGTATTTTTCCTTCAGTTACTTTTCAAATCAACGTTTATTAAGTTTACCTCCGCAAAGGTAAGTTTATATCCAATGAAAAGTTACTAATTTTAAATATTTCTTGATCTATCTGCCATGTTCCTTCTTATCCAAAAGTGACATCTTCTTCTTGCTCACATCATCTTCTTACCCAAAAGTGCCTTGATCCAAAAGTTACTTGACCGAAAAATGATTTCATCCAAAAGTGCCTTGATCCAAAAATGACCTGATTCAAAAGTGACTTGATCCAAAAACTTGCCACAAAGTGTTGAGAGTTCAATACCTAGCCACAGCAGAGGAAACAAAAACTTGTTGAGTGTTGAGTTATCAAGTATGGCACGGGGAATTAGAACAATCTACTCCCTTGATCTAAATAAATGGTTCGGTTCGAAATTGTAAGAAATATCATCTGAAGAAGGCCGGAAACGTCGTGAATATGACAATAACGATGAAGAAATTCAGTCCAAACGATGTAGCTAGTGAAAATAGTCATAATATCTCATCTCAGAAATATAGAAAGATGCTGAATTTTCTCACTGAAGATGAAGAGGAGACTTGAGGCAACAGAATTATGGCTCTACAGAAGACTGCTGAGATTAATATGGATGGTTGTTTGATTTTGTTTAACGGCATATCAACACCTCTATGGGTTATTTAATGCCGGGATCTAAATATTTTGAACACAATTTTATAGTTGTATTCCTTCAATTACAGATAAAATGTATTGTTATTCATTTTGCTATAAAACTTATTATTGGTAATTATACTATAAGATTGTATTACTGGTCATGTTACTATAAATAGGTATTGCTGATAATTTTACTATAAATTATTCCTTTCATAGTGTTTTGTTTGGGGCTTTACTATTTGATCCATAGCTGGGACCCTAACAGGTGCTACCACCTCGAGAGTGGATGGACCTGAGAACAACAGCAATTAATATGTGGTTCCACACTCCTCAAAGGCTTCAATATGCCGATCAGAGGCCTTGCTGCTGGATGTAGTTTATCGTCATACCAAGGACTTATATAATATGGACGGAATATATAATCATCGAAGAAGTTTTTAATGAAAATGGAAACAAAAAGAAACTTATAATTAGACTCAGAAAGAGTTTAAAATTCGAAATTAAGCATAATGAAATTTTAAAAAAAATGTTTTTGACGCTCGAAAGATAGACGGAGGGGAGCAGGAATAGGGAGAGTTAGCAAATGGTTAACGAGCTTGTTTAAATTCATGGCAAAACGGAGAGTGGGTGGATAAAAAAAAATAATCTCGGAAAGATATAAAGGATAGGCAGTTGTGGAGAGCCGTGATTGTTCATGTCTTGAGGGTCCCGGCACATAAAATAAGAAAAATTGGTTTTGAACTTATAAAAAGGCCTAAGAATAAAAAAATTTCCTATGAAAAAGAATTTTCATAACTACTACCTCAGGTGAAAATTAAGGAATTAGTTGCAAGGAGATTGCAATGACAAAAACAAATATAACTTGAGAGCGTCTAAAAGGAAAACATATTGAAAGAAACGCTAATAATGTCTGCGAATGTGATTCGAAGGAAAATGAAGAAAGGAAAAAAGATTCTAGAGATTATCAAAAAGCAGCAGCAAACAATGCCAAGGAATGGAAAAGAGTACTGGACACTATATACTGGACAAATGTAGGCAGGTTAAAGAAGAATGGCTCGATGAAAATTGTGCAGAAATAGAGAGGACGATTATGTATGTGCAACAGAATAAAAAAAATAGCAGAACAAAAGGTGAGCCAATCAACAGGCTGTATAAAATCAAAGGGAATGTCATTGATAACAGAACAAGAAAAAATACTCCTAAGATATAGCGAATAAGTCAGAGAAGAATTTCATGATAAGAAAAAAGTTGGCTCCCTGTGCCGCGCCAGGAAATTTTTCTCCCCGGAATCGATCCTCCAGATCTACAAATCAACAATTCGCCCTTGCATGGAGTATTGCTGCCATATATGGTCTGGAGCCCCTTCTGATTGCCTCGGGGTTCTTGATAAGATCCAGAGGCGGATATGCAATATAATTGGCCCTGTTCTGGCATCTCGTCTACAGTCGCTCTCTCACAGACGCGCCGTCGCCTCTCTCTGTCTTTTTTACAAATACTTTCATGGCAATTGCACCGAGGAGCTGCATTCGCTGGTTCCCAGACTTCATGAATTCAAGTGCTCTACGAGGCTGGTATTCCACTCTCACCCTTTCACTGTCGAAACTCCTAAATGTAGCCGTCTCTTCTACTCCGATAGATTCATGTCTCGCACCTTTCGCCTGTGGAACTCCCTTCCCTATTCCAGTTTCCCTGAGAGCTATAATCTCCAGCTATTCAAATGTAATGTCAATCGACATCTTCAGTTGCCTTGATCTATCCACTACCCTTCTCCTCATCCTTTCTTTTATCACTCCTATCTGATCTTGCTCCAAATTTTCTGTAACCCCTTGCGTCTTAGTGGCTTCCCGCCTTGCTTGGAGTGAAATGCTTAAAAAAAAAGAAGAAAAAAAAGAAAAAGAAAGAGAAAACCTAAAAATATAGAAAGGCTGGAAATATTAAAGCCTGAAATAAGATTGTCATGGGACAAGATAAACAGGAACAAAACAGCAGGACCAGATGTAATTGTAATAGAAATGCTCTCAGGATGAGACAATTTTGGCATTAACAAGATCACAGAAGTAATAAAAAATATATACAACCATGGTGACATATTGGAGAACCTCAGTAGATCCATTTTAGTAGCATTAGCTTTGAAAACTAGGTGCCAATGATTGCAAGTTTCTTTGGATAACCAAGCTAATGAGCCAAATTTTGAATAGCATGCGAAGCAGAATTAGACCAAAAACATGAACAGTATGGCTTTGTTATGGTCACTGGAAGAAGATATGATATGTGATATTTATGATTAGAATGATATTGGAGAGAACAATACAAATGCAGAAGGATGTGCACCTATGTTTTATAGATTACATAAAAGCATTTGACAAGGTACAGCTCAAGAATCCATGTTAGGAAAACTAAATTTATTTGTAAAGGATGTTAGAATAATCCAGAACTTATATTGAGAGCAAACCTTCAACCCTTACTTATAGATAGAAAATGAACTGAGTAGATACATGATGTAGGTTTCAACACTTTTGATAAGATTTCATAACTTGGTACATTTGACCCACAAATAATTTTTGGTGGGCTTGTGTAGGTCAAAGGCAAAATAAAGCATAGTATTTGAAGAACGAAATATT